GATCGATCGATCGATCATACCGGGTCCACTGCCCCGTGAAGCGAGTGTGGGACAATTGATTTTTGAAATAGGTTAGGTCAAGGAGGTGATGTGTGCGCTTTTGTCGCGCAAAGGGAGGGTCGGGGTTGTGCAGACAGATGGTAAACAAATATTTGACAGCAGCCAGCAGCAGCACTGGGCTTCCTCTGTGGTGTGTTTGCAGGGTGAGCGGGCTGAACTATACAGGAGTTGTCTCGGCTCTCCAGTGCCCAGTTCTGCGTCCTCTGAGAGGAAGAGCTGCTGTAATTGGTTTCTCAATGAAGGATCATCAGCAGCTCCCCGGAGGCTTGGTGGACTGTAGCGCAGCGCTGCTCCATCAATCGTCCGTTTCCCGGATTTGAACGCTGCTTTGCTCTTTTCTTCTGAAATAAACAAGTGCGCAGTGAAGGGGACTGTCGGAGCATCATCACCCTGCGCGCTTTAGACGGGGATCTTTTGTGATCTCTTTTTTTCCTCCCCCAAACCTGCTAAACGAGTATTGGGAGTTAATCGTTCTGTCCACCTCGGGGAGAATATCGACAAAGTTTAACGCAGATTTTCGCCATGAGTGATCTGGAGGACGACTTTGCCAAGATCCTGCTGCTAAAGGAGGAGAGAATAAGGGACTTGGAGAGGCGGCTTGCCGATCGGGAAGACGAGATTCAAGAACTGAAGAGAAAATTACACAAATGTCAGTCTGTTCTGCCAAGCGCTCAACTTATTGGACCCAGGACCCGCAGGGCGCAGGGCATCTCCGCGGAACCTCAAACGCACCAGGACCTGTCAAGGCAGGCGTTTCGAAAATATGCCAAGTCCGACTGGTAAGACAGTTTACGCAGGCGGTCGTACTTTATTGCTCTGTTATTGCGCCCATGTGTCTGCTTTGTGTCCCGTCTTAAAAGATTTTCTGGGTGTTTTTCTTCTGAGTTTATTTTTTCTGGTCATAAAAACTATTCATCAGCATTTCGTTACGAGGATGTACAACTCTGTTTCGAGAGGAGAATACATGTGGCGACAAAAAACAAAAACTAGAGGCTCAGACACACACGGCTCACTGAGGCTCCTCTGTGCTTTGTCTCCACATAGTGTTTCTGTCTCTTTATGATCTTCTTTTTTTCTAAATGGGAGACTCAGAGTTTTGCCATGAATGGACGAGCACTTCCATTCTTGCGGGCCGATGACGCAGCTCCAAGGCAAGCTTTAGAAAGAGCTCCTAATTGATCAGATCCATCATGGCAGCCCCACGGGACACAGACAGGAGGAAGTGCGATGCATTATTGGCTTTTAGTAGCTGGACGCTGAGGACCCGAAGTGCATGTCTGAGGATATTTAATACTCCATTAGAAAACGCTTTGTTTGGCCATATGCTTCCTTCATCACCTTCAGGTGCTCGTTTTAGGTTCACAATCCTTATTTTGAGGATTTCATCTGAGGTATGATGTCTGTATAGATAAAAGAAACTGCATTTTTATTTAGTCCTACTCTGCTTAGTTTGGTTTTGCTGTGTTTACTCGAAAAACCAAAAAGTTAGCCAAAGAACTTTTTCTTTTAATTTATTCTCACCTCATTTTCTATCATCAGAACCCCATCAGAATAAATTACTTATTACACTGACATCACACACACGCACAAGCAGACATCAGCCTGTTGACTCGCTTAGTGCAAGAGACAATGGGGTTAATAATATTAACATGGCTAGACTATTTCCAATCTTCATTTGCATTAATAAACTGCAGGCAGGAAAGTCCTCATTTGCAGTCATCAGCGGATGCTCGCGCTGTGCTTTCAAAGGCAAACAACCGCAGGGAGAGCCCCCAGACAAACAAACACAAGACAGCCCAACTTTAGAGGGATGAAAAAGTTGCAAACGAGCTACATTAAAGTTAAAAATAAATTATCTCCATCAAATTGTCAGCCTTCCAGTGGAAGCATGGCTCGGTCTCAAAGTGATCAAATTATGAGTTTATTTTCAGCTGCTGAGTAACAGTAAGTGCCACAGTAAGGCTGCAAGAGTTGACAGACGGGAATGTGCCCATGCGCTCTGAGGATAAACCGGAAGTAAACCTAGAAAACGTGCAAAACGGCAGTAACATGAAGTCTTTGTGCTGCCGGGGTCTGGTGGAAGGCGCCCACATGAGCTGCTGGGGGTCTCTGACCCCTCTGTGCGCCGCAGAGGGGTAGGAGACGGTGTGACCCCCCTCATCCACCACCACACACGCGCACCCCACTGAATCAGGACGTGGCACCAGGCGGCGGCCCGCCCCGCTCCTCAGATTACTGCAGCATGGAGCTCCGGATCCTATTTCTATTGATCCGCATAGGAAAGGGGCTCACTTGAATGGCTAGAGAGGTGAAATTTAAAGCGCAGAGGTGCTTTGAAGGACAGTGGGAGGGCTTTTTGTTGATGGGAAGATGCGGGGCTCCAACATCGAACCTGAAATCTCCGGACGTCTGCAGTTTCAGGTGCTATGAAACAAACTTTGCTGCTGCTTAAGCTCTGTGGTCTGCCCCCATCCCTTAACAAAGATAATATAAACCATGATTTCTTTTAATTAGCTCAGAGAATACTGCGCTACATTGGATTATTTGTATGGTTTTCTTTTGTTGTGGTTCAATGAATGACTTAAACAGAAAGTTGGGTTTGCTGGTTGTTGAGCAGGTCTTCCTCTCATGTTCAACTTTCACAGATTACCTCTGTTGTGCTTTGTAGCTTGCGGTTCAGGTAGTAGAGCAGGAAGAGCAGGGTTCACGGTTCACTCCATGGCTTTTCATATCGAGCATCCAGACTATGCTTGGGTCTCGTGCTTTTACAAGGCACGAGACCCAAAGTTGCTCTCCATGGCAGGCGAGTTTAACAGCCTCTGTTCAGCAATTTAAGCACAGTCTGAAGAACATTTTTCATGCTACTATGCAGTTTCAATACATTTTCATTTGATCTGTGTAAACCCCGATTACCCATTAAAAATCACAGACCTACATGTTATTACTTTGAGTGATATTACTAATATCAATTCCTCCGATTAATCGCATACATCCCCCAAATCCTACATTTTAATGCTCTCATGATCCAGTATCACTCACTACATGCTGATTTAATGTCCACAATCATCCTCAGCCTGGAGAGCAGTGCCATGCCTCATTCTTGATCGTCTGCGTTGATCCTTTAAGCCACCACAAGAGGGCAGCTGAGATCTTTTTATTAGACCATCTGTCTCCATTTCGGTTTGTTTACATGTTTTTTGTCGGGAAAAATATGTCTTAAACCACCGCACCAAAAACACCTATCTCTGCAGTCCGAGAAATCTCCTCGCTTTTGTCCTCACTGTCAGCCGGTGACGCTTCATCCTCTCAGCACAGTAATTGCGATTTCAGCCTCAGTAAGTCCTCATCCTATCAGATTGTTCTTGGCACTTTATCCTCTTCTGAATTTGTCCAGAGAGCACGAGGCCAAATGCTGTTCGCTGAGCTTCGGATGAGTCATTGGGATAATGTGGACAGGCACCAGCGGCGCTCGGAGTGCACACAACACCAGATTAGATGAGAAACGCGGAGCTGCGCCTCATTAGCTCTGACATTTTTTTGTGTCTCTGCTGCTGCTGTTTGACACTTTTTTTTTAAATATGAAATTTGGCAAACTGACTCCATTTTGCAACAAAATTTAATTCAGAAAAGGGTTTGGGGAAAGTTTAATTCTTCACACCCAACACAACATGAAAAACAACATTCAGGTTCAAATGAAATATTGAAAACATCTTCATTCATATTTTTACACCGAGGTTCATTAAGTTTTCCATCACCTTCAACTTCTATTAAGGCTCCTGTGCTCATCTATTTGTTACACGCAGCCTCAGGGTGAGATGCCGAGGTATGATGACATGGTTCTTAGAGCAGTGGCTTCATGGGAGACTCTCTCTCTCTCTCTCTCTCTGGAGTGGCAGACTGCACTGTGCTTCAGATTCCTGTAGGCGCCCTTCTCGCCATGCGCTCTCACCGGGTCGCAGCCTGACGCACTCGGGGAGGACGGTCCTCCGCTGTCACAGCACCGTGGGAGGGAGGGAGTGAGCGAGAGAGAGGGAGAGAGTAAACTTTGCATGATTGTGGCTGAGACGCTTTCTGTGCTTACCTTGACGATCGCGTGCCACGTTCTTTTTAATCCCCAAACATCTGCTTCTGACAGACAGAATCAGCCACAGCAGAGACAGGGGTTCCTTCCTCTCAAGCTTTTCATGACGAATAAAGTTTGTGAGCCGCGTGGCAGAGCAGAAAGGATAAAGACTCGGCTGCATACCTTGAGATAAACTTCCTGGGAAGTCGCTCATTGTCGCGGATTAAAATGGGCACCTTGCGCGACCTCCAGTACGCGCTCCAGGAGAAGATTGAGGAGCTGCGCCAAAGGGATGCCCTCATCGACGAGCTGGAGCTGGAGCTCGACCAGAAAGACGAGCTTATACAGAGACTACAGAACGAGCTGGACAAATACCGCTCAGTCATCAAACCGGCGACCCAGCAGGTCCACAAGCAGAACGACTTGCAAGAGCAGCAGCGAACGAAGAGGCAGGCAATTTCGGCCGAACCCACTGCCTTCGACATCCAGGATCTTAGCCATGTCACCCTACCGTTCTACCCCAAAAGCCAGCAGTAGGTGTTCAAATTCTACCCACAGTCTTTATATTTAATATGCTCGATATTTTTGCATTCACTGTCATGCTTCCGTCTGAATTGATTCAGTCTTTGTCACCTTTTCGATTCTTGTGCGTAATGATGCGTGTGGCGCAGCAGGTACTTCACCTGTAGCGCACACTGGGATAATGAGGCAGTGCTCTCCACGTACTCATGCGCGCGCACCAAGAACCCCCCGCCCCTCCCACCACCACCACACACACACACAGCGGATGTTTTTGCAATGACACGATATCTTCAACTATCAAAATGAGACAAATATTAAAACCTCAAGAATCCGTGAAGCTGTCCCTAGTGACCCCCATGAGCAGGATTATGAGCAACATAACGATCAAAAGTTGACTGTACATAAACTTGATCATAGTCAAATATGAGGGAGAATTTGCATGCCATCCCGGTTTGGAGAACTGGTGGTGGGGACTCTGTGTAATGTATCAGTGCCTGTTTTATACAAGCTGTGATCCTGTGACAGGCAGTCTTAACAGGCTCTCTGTGCATGTTTACCTTATGATTTCTGTCTTTCTCACTCCCTCTGTCTTTCCAAACTCTTACGCAAATACGGCTCTCCTGCTCGACGTGGTCTGAAACAGGAGGTCTGGATCTTAAATGTAGGCTGGCACTAAATTTGCCTTCTGTTGTGAAGTAATCCATCTCTCTGTTGGTTTAAAGGTTGAGCTATTATGAATCAACACTCCCCTGGTTGACAGGGAGAATATTTACCTAACATTTCTTTAAACATATTAAAAACTGCACATATTGAATTTAATGAAAAGAAAATATTGCCCTAAATGCTTAGCGGGATACTTGAGTTCCCAAAAATAAATAAAAGGGATCATTCCTATGGAAGTGATTGGAATATTACGAGTCCTGGCGTTAAGTTATCTTTTTCTATTCTCATATTGATGTTTTAAGCCTAAGAGGAAAAAAGATTACAGCCTTCAGATTTTACAGTGAGATCAGTCACGTCAGATACGAATGTCATTATTCGACTGACACGCAAACAAACTCAACAACAAAGATTTCATCAAACAAGATTCAAAAAATGAAGGGATTTATTTATCTGAGCAGCAAAAAGCCATTAGTCTTTGTTATACCTGTCAGCTCCCTGGGTTTGTGAAAGCACACAAAACGCTCTTTTCTTATGTGTATTTTTTTGTTTGTCTGAGATCCTGAACACTGGTTTGGAAGGTTAGCTGAGGAAAACACCAGAGTGACCAATTCTTTTGATAACTGGCATAATTCTGAGACTTCATTAAGTGATTTTCTTGAGACTCTTGTCAAGACTTTTAGCACTGTACTTCAAAAAGTGGTTGATTACCCCGTGATTTAATATTGGAACAGATCAGAGAGAATCTCCAGTTAAGAAAATATCAATTATGATGGGAAAAGACTATTTCAAGATTTCAAAAGAAAGAAAAGATGAGTGGCAGCGGTTTCTTAAATAATTTCTGATGATGATCCTCAAAGGAAAGCTAAAAATTAACTCATTACAATGAGGCTGTTTGAACTTCCATCAAGCCTCTCTCAGCGACAGCTTCAATTTTCCATTAAACGTCTGCCACACCTTTTCACACTCCTCATTTGTTAGAGAATGGCATTTTCTCTAATATTGCTCTTCTAATAAGCATAGAGATGAAAAAAATTAATTGAAAAACAGCCAGTGTTGAATGCAAATGACTGTAGTGTGTTTGTGCGCTTGTTCTCTTATTAGTTGAGCACTGTTCTTATCTTACTCAAGCAAAGATGTCCAAACTGGTTGGACATCTTTGCCTGAGTAATTTGGAGAAGTTTATATTTTTCTGTAGAAAAGCAGTTCATTTAGATTGAGTTTGTTGTTGTTGTTTTTTTGTGCATGTTAATTTATACTGTGGGCTAAAACAAGTTCACTAACTCTTTATTTTCCTTTGTTACTGAAGTTTACTGATAATATCTGTTAGATCTGGCTAAGTGTTTGTGTTTTTCTTTCATTCTCCCCTCTCTTTATCTTCTTTACAAGGCCCATAGAGCACTCTTTACTCGTATGCTATCCATTCTTTTCCCTCTTTCTGACTTTTATTTCTCCTGGCCTCTCCCACTTTTCTGCCATGCCTTTTTTTTCCTCCTTAAAGAGCATAGTTTCTCCTTTTAAGGAAGACTGAACTTGCTCAGTCTAAACTTCTGTAGTGGATGAAAGAAAATATATCGCTCTCACAAAGGAGACGGAGGCAGATGTTTTCATAAGGGTTGGATTTGGAAGATGTTGCTCAAGAATGGCCACGATCATGTCTGCCCTAAATCTCCTGGGTGTAAATCGAACAGAAATAGGGTCAATGAGGCACATTTCCAGTGGGCTGGAGGTCAGCCTTGGAAAAAAAAAAGATTTCCAGCTAGTTCCTGTTGAGCCTTTTTCACACATGTACTGCAGGCCTGGACTTTTGTAGATGGTAGATGTAACTGACATACACTACAAGTTAAAAGTTTGGACACACCTTCTTATATAATGGTTCTTTATTTTAATGATGATTTATGGTGTAGATTCTCACTGAAGGCATCAAAACTATGAATGAATACATATGCAGTTATGTAGCAAACAATAAAGTGTGAAATAACTCAAAACATGTTTTATATGTTAGATTCTTCAAAATAGCCACCCTTTACTTTGATTACTACTTTGCACGTTCTTGGCATTCTCTCGATGAGCTTCATGAGGTAGTCACCTGAAATGGTTTTCCAACAGTATTGAAGGAGTTCCTTGAGATGCTGAGAACTTGTTGGCCCTTTTGCCTTTACTCTGAGGTCCATCTCATCCCCAACCATCTCGATTGGGTTTAGGTCAGGTTACTGTGGAGGCCAGGTCATCTGGCGCAGCACTCCATCACTTTCCTTCATCGTCAAATAGCCCTTACACAGCCTGGAGGTGTGTTTGGGGTCACTGTCCTGTTGAAAAATAAATGATGGTCCAACTAAAAGCAAACCGAATGGGATGGCATCTCGCTGCAAGATGCTGTGGTAGCCATGCTGGTTCAGTGTGGACTCATCAAACCAAAGCTCAGATTTCCACTTGTCTAATGTCCATTCCTTGTGTTTCTTGGCCCAAACAAATCTCTTCTGCTGTTGCTTTTTCTTAGTCGTGGTTTTGTAGCAGCTATTTGACCATAAAGGCCTCCTCTGAACAGCTGATGTACAGACGTGTCTGCTAATGGAACTTTGTGTGACATTTATCTAGCCTCTCATCTGAGGTGCTGTTAACTTGGTATTTCTGAGGCTGTTGACTCGATGAATTTATCCTCAGTTTTCAGATTGACTGACCTTCAGTTCTTAAAGTAATGATGAACTGTTGTCTGTCTTTACTTAGCTGATTGGTTCTTGCCATACTATGAATTCTAACAGTTGTTAGCTGTGTACTAACCTGACTTCTGCACAACACAACTGATGGTCCCTACCCCATTAAGAAGGAAGGAAATTCCAATAATGAACCCTGACAAAGCTCACCTGTGAAGTGAAAACCATTTCAGGTGACTGCACCATGAAGCTCATTGAGAGAAGGCCAAGGGTTTGCAGTGCTGTCAACAAAGCAAAGAGTGGCTACTTTGAGGAATCTAAAATATAAGACATATTTACAATTATTTATCATTTTTTGTATGCTACATAATTCCATATACTGCATTTTGCCTCATATGTTTATGTCTTCAGCATCTATCTACAATGTAGAAAGTAGTAAATGAGAAAGTGTCCAAACTTTTGACAGGTAAGTGCAGTTGTATGTGTGAGTGAAAATGTCAGATTCAGACCTCAAGTGGTCTCTACCAGCTCACAAAGGCCATGTAGCGTCTAATTGCTCCCAGGTGAGAATAGCTCAGGTCATAGTGAAACCACTGTCATTTGTCATATGTCCTGCCACCTGCGCACCCTACTCATGCAGCATCCTCACCTAATACAAAGGAGTGCTGCCAGCTCTGAGAAGCAGATCATCTTCTGTTGCACGCTACACGTGAGCTGGACAATATCCTGGCTCGATTCTCCTAAAATTGTTTAAGTTAGTCTGTGAAAATGCCTCGAGTTAATTATGCGTAAAGTGTGCTGTCTTTTCATAAAATGAAATCTATTATGAAATATCAGTCCAAAAAAACTGCGCTTCACACCATTACTATGCTCCTTTCAAACTAATGAGATCTTCTCTTCCTGCAGACAACTCCCCCCCAAAAAAATTACAACTCAAGGAGCAAGGAGTCAGATCTGAACATAGATTGTGGAGTGGGAATAAAAAATAAGTGCAACACCTCAATCCTCCCTGTTTAAAATTCACACAGCAGCATGTTTAGACTCTCAAGGGCAGAAACAACTTCTTTATAATCCAGGTTGCTCAGTTAGAGCAGCTCCATTTACGATTCAAGTCTATTAAAAAATCCAGTGGATTTGGAAGCTTGTTAGCCTGAAGCCTCTCGTGTTGGTTGGTTGCTCTTGTTATTCTGTAAATGATCTAAAATTTGAGAAGAGATGACACGTATAGGGATCGTGGAACATCTATAGGAATGCACATACATGATCTTTGTCTTTAAGATTATAGAAATCCAGAGGCCACATGTGAGAATTAAGATTCTTTTGTGTGCTTTCAAAAAACCCCAAAACATTATTTGGGTTTTCCAGTGAAATACGACACGTAGCTAATGTTGTTCTCTGGTAATTTAGTTTCTCACGTTTATATGCGAGTGTGAAAAGCATCGCTGGTCAGAATCCACAGGCTTCAGACCCTAATTTGGTATTCATGGTCATGAATGAAAAGCACAATTTATTAGAGCCCCGCTAATAATTCAGCTGGTGTAAAAACAGTGCAATAAAATGTGCAGATGTTGGTGAAAGCTCAAATGGTAGCTGCTTCTGAGAAGAGACTGGCATCGCTCTTTTAAGTGTTTTGGCATTTAAAAAAAGAAAAGAAATTTGAAACAGCACCACTGTCTCATCCCAGACTCAATAATGTGTTTGAGGATTTATTGAAGAAGCGTTTGAGTGACCTTAAAAGTTCAGCATAAAGAGAAATAAAACACTCATTGTGCAGTGAAACATGGCCTCATATACACATGAATCTGCAGAGGAGGTTTGTAGAGTTCGCTGTTCGAAAATAACAGACAGGTTGAAAAACATAAATCTGAAAGAAGTAAAAAAAAGGGCACTGTTGATGTTGTAATTTGAAGTTTTGTTTATGCACTTTTGTTCCTTGGCGAGGACTTTGCTGCAGGCTGGCAGTGGAGAAGAGAAGCCTGCGTGTTGTGGGAGCACTGATTCATAAATGCCTTCTAGGTTATTTGCCCTTTTAGCAATGAGCTCTCCAGGTGATCAACAATGCACTAAGAAATCCGTTTCTGAAAAGGGCACTGAGCACAAAAAGGCAAGAGGCAGTTCCCCAGTGCCTTTGAATACTACTTGCGGGGCATAGTGGGCTGCTTTTGTGGATTTTTTTTATGAATTAGGATATTGGCCTCCCTTCTCAGTGTGAGAGGTCTCTTTAATGGTTTAACCCTGGTACATAACCTCATTCATTTAGCTGCCAGAGAAGCACATACACAGAGTGCAGCTGAGCAAATGGAACTGTGGCGATGCTTCGGTGAATGAGTGATCTTGACTCGTTGTTCGCGATCTGGCCCGCGTCAGACTTCTTTCAACGCGTCTACCTTTCTCAGACAGTCACACTGATGCTTGCTTTCAGGTTTCAGATTTGCTATCACCTGTTGAACAAATATCTCTACTCTCCTCTGGCGCTGCATCCACTGCATGCTGCTAGATTTAGAAGATAATTTATCAGGTCTCCTTTCATAATGTCGCCTGCCTCTCCGTTTGCCCTGTGTTTCCTTTCAGCCCACCTGACAAGCACTCTTGCACCTTGACAACCACGCGTTAGCTTTGCACTTTATTACCTTTTCTCCCGACAGTTGCATAGTTAATGCAGAAACTATTTACCTGCGGAATGCCCTAATGACTCTGCAAACCGAAAGCCGAGTTGGCTTTCAGAAGTAAACCCCTGAATGGAAACAATCTGCATCCATTAGGCATTGATTTTGCTATTTATTGACTTTCCTCAGAATTTTCAGGGGAGGGAGGCGGGTGAGATGGTTTCACCTTGACATATTTGAATTGAGGGTATGTCTTTGAAAAGGCGCTGAGCCGTTAAAGCTAGAATGAAGTAGCCTTGGAAATAAGAGACATGCTGAACAGTTTTTATTTGAGATGTGCGCCTGCAAAACCTCTTATTGTGTCTCATTTTGTCCTTCTGCAATGAAGAATGCACAAGTCAGTGCTTGTACAGTGACTGTCTCACATTGCTTGGCTTTGCCTCCAGGTCCAAGGAACTGATAAAGGAGGCCATCTTGGACAATGACTTCATGAAGAACCTGGAGCTGTCGCAGATCCAAGAGATCGTGGACTGCATGTATCCTGTCGAGTACGGGAAGGACAGCTGCATCATTAAGGAGGGCGATGTAGGCTCGCTGGTGTACGTCATGGAAGGTAAACGCACACATGCACGCTGCTAAAACGGGTATTCTTAAAATACTGTGAAACCACAGGTACAATGATTCTAAAAAGACCGTTATTATAAAACTTTGCCTAATCTATGAAGAAGTGTACATCTTATAAACCATTATAGCATTCACAGAGGATAAATGAAAGGGACTTATGTTGCATGATTCACTCATGTCACATCGATGTCATTTTGTGTGCTCTGGTGTGCTTGCCGAGTCCGTTTAATTAGGTTCTTTTTAGTAGTACTGACCAGCATGTGGTTCTTTTTTTTCTTTCATAAAACTAAGAGTTGGTGACAGCAACAGCAACACAGCGTCCACTGTGGCGCTAATGGGATTTGTGAAAGGGCAAGCGATTCAGCGGTGAAACGTTCAGGGAGCCATCATCCTTTACAATAGATTTGACCTCAGGGAAAACGGCCTCAGTTAGTGCCTGCCCAATATAATTCATTCCAATGCAGAGGTAAATCTGGACATTCAAAGGCTGAACTATAGAATGAATATATTAGTATTTAACCGCTCGACTCCTTGTAACTTCACTTTAAAACTCGGCTGAGCAGTGAGAAGCGAGGCAGTAACCAAGAGGCAGTGAGCATGAGTCTTGTGGGCTTGTGCGGAGACTGTGGCATTTAAAGGATAATATTTAACTATGAAGAATGAATCTAGAAAATTGATTGTTTGCTCTATTGTGGGCCACCGACTTTTATAATTGTGCTAGAGAAACATTTCCCGGATCCCCATTCGGCCAAACATTGTTAAAAATAGATTTGTGGGAAAGGAGGACTAAAATAAGAAGGCGGTATTTCAAAGAAGGAATTATGGAAAAGAATTCAATTATGCCACAAATCTATAATTCTGCTCGTTTGTCTCAAAACTCAGGCAGGTGGGATTTGTCATATCAGGAAGAAATACCTCAGCTTTTACAGAACTTTCCTTCTGTTTCCCACAAATAAAACCCTATTTACTTCATTCAACCTAAACTAAACTGATTCTCTTTGTATATGATTCTGATAATAGCTGTGTACTGTCCAAAGTTTTATATGGTGACTTCAACATAAAATAGAGTATTTTTTCACTGATGCCGAGCTTACATAAATGATCGGAGTACTTCCTCTATCCTAGCTCACACCCCCGTCATGAGAAAAAAAACACACCACTTGTTGCCCTTATCTGTATCTCTGATATGTAAAGAGTCATACAAAACATATGCAAAACCCAACAGTGCACTATACACTGGTAACCAGAGATAACAGTGGTGCTGGGAAAGGACTGGGTTGCTGTAACAACATTAGGAATTGTATTTTTTCATCTCTCTTACCTTTAATAAAAGAAACTATATGTGTGATAAACCACTGAGGCCTTGCTGAACACAGGTCTACAAAAGTCTGCGGTCACAGTCAGTAGATTTCACTCTGTCCCTGACGAATGCTGCGTGCCAAAGGTGTGAGGTCACAAATGAGCAAGCGCCACACTGACTTGATGAATAGGTTCCTGTCGAGCACAACTGAAAAAAGAAAGAAAGATACAAATCTGTAAGGGGCTTTGTGGGTTCCTCTTTGACAGCGATGTAATTGGTAGAAGGGCTTCAGTTCAGCGGTGTCACACTAATATTACATGTTATTTAATTAATTAATTAAATTATTTTGCATTTTTGAATCCTTAGGGTAGGCTCAACATATTTATCTTTAGTGAACATTACTGCCTCTCTCTGACTTCCGTTCTGCTCTATGATCGCCTTTCTGTTCCCCTCTCTCGTGTCCCAGCGAGTCCTTTGCCAGCAGCTTTCACCCCGACTGTCCCTGTCCTTGATCTATTTTGCATAAAAGCAAATGTTGAAACCAATAGCTCAAGGCGGACGACTTTGTACCAAGGTCTGTAGAAGCCCGTAACGGTTGGTGACATTTTAATCCACGCTGACGGGATGTCGGTGTCTTATGTCAAACACATAGCTGCATCCACTCAGCGCTGTACGTCATTTTCCTGGCAAATGAAGTGTTCGCCGCTCAGGCAGTTGTGTCATTTATTATTGAAAGTTGGCAGGGTAGTCGTTAATGTTTTGCCACAGGGCTGACATATCCATTATGCATCATATAGGGATATGAGGCACAAGTAAACAACTCTTACGCCAATAATAACAATTATAACAGTGGTAATATGAATGATGCATTTAAACGTCACTCCTAGTTTATAGTTGCTTTAACTATGAGGGCGCATAACTTGTTTCGCCTACTAGTTATAGATTGAAATTGCAGACAGTTTCGCAGCTTCCCAGCTCAAACAACAACAGGACAGTTATCTGTTGTTGCAGATGCACCTGATAATTTGAGATGAGACGAAAAAAATAAGAGCTGCAGACACAGAATGAATCCTGGCATTGGCTTGCCTCTATGATGAGTCTGCCTGCTTAGCAATGGCTGCCTTCATGAATGTTTGTTGCGCTCAGCTCACATCTACCGGGCTATAATTGACATCAGTTCTCTTTTAAAAACAGTGATTGCAACAGAGACAAAAGCTCGTGTTTCCATGGAGATGGGATAGATTTTTGATTGGCTGTGTCACCCGCAAAGACCCACACAGGTGGATTGTAATGATAATAACTCGCACAATCACGTCCAATTACTATGAAGTATTTACTTGAGAGGGGGAAAAAAGCCATTTGAGTTCTTTCATAGATTTCATTCATCTTAATCTAATGACTATGTGTTTGCTGCAGTAGGAAGCAGTGTTAAGTAGGTTCTTGCATTGCCGTTTTGTCTGTCTTTTTATTAGGTGGAGACGTGGAAACTTTTAAACAGGTGCAGATCAAGGACTTCAAGCATCGCCTAATGCAAAATGTAACAGAGTCTAGTCTCTAGTTTCCAGAATAGAGATTGAATCATTAAAAGCATTTTATTCCCACCTTATCAGATACTGTCAGATGGTGGGCGAGGTGACGGCCCTCTTTTAAGGGACTAAGAACACTCCAGCGCATGTTTCGTAGTCTAACTTTGATTGAGACTGGGCACAAAAAAAGACTTGTGTTGTTTTTGCTTTTGTTGTGTAATTTTTGGGGTTAAAATGTGGTTCTGGCATACTGACAAATGATGCTTTTGTGGGACGTGTCTAAATATAACTCCAATGGGTCCTTTACAAGGATTGCTAAAAGACAAGATGAAATCTACATCACCAAAAACTTTAAAAAAGTGACATTTTGTACAATTTCGAGAATACAATTGTTAAATTAAACAGTTGAATAGTGGGCCACAGCAAAACTAAAGCAAAGACTATTAAGATCACATGACTGGCTTACAATGTGAATATTGATTACTTCAGCTGCCAGGTGAGGGATTCTTCAAAGTGACATAGTAAATGGTTTTGCGTTGTTCACCAAAGGTCACACATGAATCACGAGAAGTCGCAAACCTGCCAAATCTGAAGGTTACCTGTGGTTTCTAAGATTAAAGATATTTTCAGGGCTGCAAGTAATGATTTCTTTTTTTCATTTATTGACTAACCTGTCAGATCTGGTCTCAATCTGTCATTCGGGCCACAAAAGGTGACATAAAGTCCAATCTCACCACTGGTCCAAAAATCTGTAGACTTGCAAAGAATAGCTAAAAGAAGACATTAATTATCAAATTTGTTGCAGATCTCTGTTGAACAGGTGCGCTAGTTTAGATATAAGTCTTAACATGGTTACATTTAATGGTTTGGTGCTTAATGGAATGGTAAAGAATTGTGTTTTTCTTCTGTGATTGCACATAATTACTATTTGAATTGAATTACAAACCAGAACAAGTTTCCTCCACTTGGCAGCTTTTATTAAGACAACAAAATATATTCAACCTCTCCTTACTACGTTTCATCTTGCCAACTTTGCATTTATATTTGAATATTACTTAACATTCCTTCTTGGTCTTGCATCTTTCACCCTGTCTGAGAAACAAGCGCATCCAAGGAAAAAAAAAAGAAAAAAGAGAACGAAGAAACATTGAAACATACGTGGCAAAGAATCTGAATTATGTATTTTTTTCCTCTATCTGTCATCTTTTAGGTACAACTAGATGACTGCCCTTGCTGTATATTTTATTAGTTTTACTGAGTGTTCATGGATCGCAGACAGAAAAGTGAGGAAAGTGAGGGGAGAGGTAACGTTACAGTAGACTCAGCTCCAAACCTGGAGTGCTCATGGTACGCTGACAGCTACTTTGACAAGCTAACATAGTCAAGGCAGCACTTGATGCACCGTGTGCCATTTTATTCAGGTGGATGTGTTCAGGGGATTTCACAGCGCACCCAGGATTTGACATTTTCTCTACACAAATACGTTACGCTCCCAATTATTTTATTTGACCTGCTGTTAGGCGAGGCAAGTAGAATATCCTGACAGATCAAGAAAAAAAGAATGTGTTGAAGTTTAAGTGGCATACTTGAAAGCCTGAATAAGACAGAAATGAACAATGTGCTGTTTTGAAGCTTATACCGAACCACTTCTGACAGTCACTTCTTTTTCTTCTGCTTTTACTGAGCTATACCTCAGAATAACAATGAACAGAAATGTTTACTGCTATGGCGAGACACTAGTTTCTCTCTACAGTAGAAGCATCTGATGCTTTATCACTCCTTATGACGGGACATTGGAAATCGATCTGTTTGCATGTAGCGTTAATGAAACATTAGCAGCATAGAAAAATGAGAGACACAGGTTTCTGTCTGCATTTTAATTTTATGGCATATTTTATCCTCCCTTCAGCTTCTACTGACACCTTATCGCCTCTCTGGCACACTAGCTCACATGCTGTGTTTTTGAAACACGACGTGAAAACATATCACTCCAACATCTGTTTCATAACTCGTAAAATCATAGCATCACGTGTGCCTGTTAACCTAATAATCGTCTTTATTTAACTGTTTAGCTGACTAATTAACCACAAGTCAAAATAATAATAATTGATTGAAGTGCTTTGGCAGGCAAGCAGAAGAAACAGCATGACCAAATTGAAGCAA